ATGAGTACAGGAGCTAGTATCAGCTCCATCTTACTCCGTCGCCATCTTCCCAGCATCCCCCCAAAGACATTTTCTGTCAAGCTGAAGAAACATTTGCGCTTTCCTAAAATAGCCAACAATTTTGGAAACTGCATAACTCTCATTCAAGTAGCTTATTATTAACAGAATCACAGTGCTGTACTACCCTTTTAAAAAGTTACAACAATAAGAAATATTAAACACTGAAAGTAACAAGGTAAAAACATTAAAGATGTTCCCATAGCCTAAATTCAATATCACCACTACTAAAATACAAAAACTTTTGGAAATAAAATTTTTATAAAAATATTTGAATGTTCTGATCGACTCTTTCATAGGCACAAAATGCATAAACATTAAAAGACATTTTTAAAACAAGTTCTTTTTTTATTACTTTATTGTTATTCAATTACAGTTGTCTGCATTTTCTTCCCACCACTCCCCTCAACCCCAGCCAAACCCAATTCCCTCCCTTGCTTCCACCCTCCCCCAGGTTTTATCCATGTGTTCTTTACAGTAGTTCTTGAAAACCCTTCCTCCCATTTTCCCCTACCCTTTCCCTCTGGCTATTGTTAGATTATTCCTAATTTCAATGTCTCTAGTTATATTATGTTTGATTTTTTCTTTTGCTGATTATGTTCCAGTTAAAGGTGAGATCATATGGTATTTCAGCCACTGCGGAAAACAGTATGTAATTTCCTCAGAAAACTAAAAATGGACCTGCCTTTTGACCCAGCAATTCCACTGCTAGGATTATCTCCTAAGAACCATAAAACACCAATCCAAGATAACCTAGGTACCCCAATGTTCATGGCAGCAGAATTTACAATAGCCAAGTGCTGGAAGCAACCTAGGTGCCCATCAGTAAATTAATGGATCAAAAAACTATGGTACATTTACATAGTGGAATTCTATGCAGCAGAGAGAAAGAAGGAACTTATATCCTTTACAACAGGGATAAAATAAGTTCTTACCAGTTTTAAGTTAATGCTGTATTCACATTACGTTCACAAAAAATAAAAAACTGTGCTACTTCAATTACTAATGCCACATGAAAGCCTCATTTAAATCAATGTAGGGTGCCTTGCTTAGGGAGAACCAGGATTCAATATATGTATGGACATATGTGCATTATACACACATTTCATAACAGAAAAACCATTTAGATTTCATCAGGTATAAAACACAGTATATATTGTTTAAGATAAAGTTTAGTTGTAGATAGGAAAGTATTTTCTATGCTGTTTTGATAATGGCTAATTCAAAAAACAATTTTAAAGGCTAAATATCACTGGAACTGAGGTGAAAAAGGCACTTTCTGAACCATAAGTTTCAAGCATAAATAACTAAAGAAATATATTGTTTCTCAACTTCCACCAAGATGGAAGCATAGGTGGAGATGCCGTGCTTTCTAACACAACCAAGTTTAGAGACAACAGAATATTAGCAACAGAAAACATAGCCAGAACACAGAAAATTGAACTTTTTGGAAGTCCAATAACAATGAATTCTTCAGTCCAACTGGTAAGAGGGGTAAAACCAGCAGCTGGCGGAGCGGGGTTGCACAGGAAAACTGGTCAGATGAACTCAAGTGTGCGGATCCCAGGCTTGGGGTTGCAAAGGGAAGACCCATTAAGCAACCTAGTGAGCACAACCCAGTGAGCAACTGACAGATGTGGCGAGGGTGAAGGGCAGCGGGTTGACTGTGCTGGCGCATTCCTGCACAGATAGACCAGCGAGGGGCTGGGCAGTGAGATGGGACCTAGTGGGTCCCAGCGACAGGAGGCAGCAGAGATGGCCGCCATTTCCCAGCTCTGACCCTGCCCCCATGTACAGTGTCACAACCCAGCGCCCTGAGCAACCCTGCCCTGGTGAACACCTCAGGCTTCACTCCTCACCCAGCAGTGGGAAGCAGGAGAGGGGGACACCATTTCCCCACTCTGACCCCGCCATCACATACAGCATCACAACCCAGCGACCCTGCCCTGGAGGCCCCACCCCGCCCCTAAGGCTCTGCTCCTCATACTTAATGAGCACGAACAGACCAAAAATGGCTCAAGAAGATCTCAAAGCCCCAGAGCCCATAAATCTAAGTGACGAAGAAATAGCAAAACTTTCAGATGCACAGTTTAAAACACTGGTCATCAGGATGCTCACAGAACTGGTTGATTTTAGTCACAAATTAGAGGAACATATGAAGGCTAAACTAATTGAAATGAATGGAAATGCACAGGAAACCAATAGTAATGGAAAGGAAACTGGGACTCAACTCAAAGGAGTGGACCAGAAGGAGGATAAAAATGACCAACCAGAAAAGAATGAAGAAACAAGAATTCAAATAAATGAGGAGAGACTTAGGAACCTCCAGGATATCTTTAAACACTCCAACATCAGAATTATAGGGGTACCAGAAGGGGGAAAGGAACAGCCACGAGTGGAAAATTTATTTGAATAAATCATAAAGGAGAATTTCCCCAATCTGGCAAAAGAAATAGTCTTCCAGGAAATGCAGGAAGCTCAGAGAGACCCAAAGAAGTTGGACCCAAGAAGAAACACACCAGGGCACATCATAATTACATTAGCCAAGATTAAAATGAAAGAGAGAATCCTAGAAGCAGCAAGAGATAAGGGGACAGTCACCTACAAAGGAGTTCCCATCAGATTGTCAGCTGATTTCTCAAAATACACCTTACAGGCAAGAAGGGGCTGGAAAGAAGTATTCCAACTCATGAAATCCAAAAACCTACAACCAAGACTGCTCTATCCAGCAAAACTTTCATTTAGAATGGAAGGACAGATAAAGTGCTTCTCAGATAAGATCAAATTCAAGGAGTTCATCATCACCAAGCCCTTAGTATATGAAATGTTAAAGGGACTTATCTAAGAAAAAGAAGATAAAAAATATGAACCATGAAAGGACAGCAAACGCACAGTTATTAACAACCACACCTAAAACAAAAGCAAACTAAGAGGACAGCTAGATCAGGAGTGGAACCATAGAAATGAAGATCTCATGGAGGGTTAGCAACAGGGGAGTGGGAGGAGAAGGGGGGAGAAGGTTCAGAAAAGAAGAAGCATAGATGGTAGGTAGAAAATAGATAGGGGGAGGGCAAGAATAGTATGGGAAATAGAGAATCCAAAGAACTTGAGACACATGGTCATAAACTAAAGGGGGAGAATGGTAGGGGTGGGGGTGCAGGGTGGAGGGGAATGAAGGGGGGAATAGAACAACTGTAATGGCATGATCAATAAAATAAAAATTAAAAAAAAAGAAATATATTGTTTCTCAAATACCATACGGAGAAATTTTAGCTCTGGGTTCATTTTTTTACAAAGTTTTTAGTGTATAACATAGACAACATCAAGTTTTTAATTTTTAAAAGGTTGATTCAGTAAATTATTAAAAACAATTTAAAATATAAAAAACAGACCAGTTCTAGGTGCTGACTTGTCAACTTACAAATAAAGCACAGAAAGTTGTAGAAAAAATAGTATTAAGAGGCTTCAACTATCAAAAGGTATGATGTCTTTCATTTCTTAATTTTAAAAATACATACATTTTTAATTCAGAATCTGTAGCACTTATACTTCTCCTCAAAACATAAAATAATTGTATTCCTAGTAGGAAAAGTAAGTATTCTGATTAAAATTCTGGTTTGAAAAAAATACTATACACAAATAACCAACATTCAAAAATATAATACAATGGAGTTCACATGTTGTTAAATACTAAATAATTCTTTTTTATAATAATGACTCAGTAAATGTTTTAGCAGTTCTTGAACTATCGTCAGAATTGATACTATAAACATTACCTCATGTCAAATAGGACAATTTTGTAAGTCCAATTAATAGACAGTCCTAGACATTAAGAGTACTGATTAACCACCTTTAACATTATTATTGTCCTCATCTTTTCTAACCTGTCCAAAACAGTTAAACAGCCAAAGTCACCTAGCTCACAAAATCCTCTTGAAATAGTAAGGAAAAAGATGGTATTATTGATAGCTTTATTTTCTAACTAAAATTTGAAGCATGGAGATAAAATTTACCTGCGAAAGAAATAAACCAGCAGTGGAATCTATAATTAACCTTAAGTTTTCTGTTTAAAGAAGGTTCAACGAAATATGAAGGCCTTCCCCCAAATGAAGACTGAGCAGTCTAAGGATGCCTCTTCTTGGTAGGGGTTCATGTGGCATACCTGCTCCAGGGACCAATATAAACCTTCCAAGTTCTTCCCATGCTTACCTTTCTTATTAATAAACCCTCTGCTCAGATCATCTTTTCACAAGGTCCTTCCACAATCATCTTCCTACTACCCTGCTTCCACAGACTCTTATTACACTATCCTATTTCCTCCATAGCACTTACGACTGCTTGAAATGATATCGATTCTTTACACATTTATTGTGGGCACTTTTATGAAGTAGGGACATTTTCTCCCATAAAACACAACATCTAGTACATGCTGAAAATGTATATCCTGAATGAATGAATGAATGAATGAATGAACTCCCAGAGACTGCTCACATTCTGAAAAAGGATTCAACAGGGCCATGATAATACCTATGAAACCCATATATATCACAGACCAGGCTAACAGCAAACATCATGGAAGTTTTAACAAAAATTATTACCCCAAGAATTAAAGAATCGGTGGATAACAAATAAGACTGGAGTGAACCTAAACACAATGACAACATATTTATACTAGGCTATCCCATTTCCCTTCCCTATGTTGATGAGATTTGTTTTTTAAATCTCTCTGGACTGAGACTTTATGGAACATAAATTTCTGTCTTTATTCATTTAGGCTTTAAAGAACAATGTGCAAGAAAACAAACAAACAAATAAACAAACAAGTGGTTCTTTTAAAACCTAATAGCAGAAAGGGAACCTTACTACAAAACAAAAACACCAACTGGCTTGAAGACTGATATTGTCAAATTGCTTTAATATACATAATTTTAACATATGCCTACCTCTTCTAGTATTTATAGGTCCACCACGTATAGCCAATACCAGCTTCAAGGTACAGCCTTCTGAAATGCTGTGGATAGTTAACACAAAAATAAACTACAATCATCAAAATGCATTCATTGATAAATATATAGTATGTACTTCTTTAGCAGGCATAGTACTACACTAAAATATAAAAATAGATATAGCAATGTGCATAAATATAACATGTTAACTTATTTACTTATATAAATAATGAAAAAGTGAAGAAGTTTTCATAATCCTTAAATATGACATGAAACATCAATAAAAGTACTGGAAAGGATCTCTGTGATCATGTACTTTAACCTCTATTTTACATGAAAGAAAAAGCAGGCCTAAGAAGAAAGGAAGCTTGTTCAAGACCCAAAGTGTTAGAAAACAGCAGATATATTTAATAAAATAGGAAACAGGAAAAAAAGCACATCTACAAGGTCTCCCAGTGTTCTTCCAGCTATTCTATACTACCTTTAACATTTTTGTTCTTTTCCTTTTAAAAATATTTTATTTATTTATTTTTAGAGAGGGGCCAAGGAAGAGAGAAAGAGAGGGAGAGAAACACCAATGTGCGGTTGCCTCTTGAGCATCCCCTAAGGGGGACCTGGACCACAAACCAGGCATGTGCCCTGACTGGGAATCAAACTGGTGACCCTTCAGTTTGCAGGCTGGCACTCAATCCACTGAGCCACACCAGCCAGGGCTGCTCTTTTCTTAAGAGTGAAGATTTATGTGAGAGAAAGGAGAAAAAAGACAAAATGTCTGATAGTATTATCTGCAATCACTGGTGTACACAGTGTCATTTAGTACCCAAAGAAGGACTTACTTAAAAAATGAAAGATATGGTGAACAGCAATAATCTTTTAATCAATACTTGTGAAAATGGAAGGAAAAGGAGCCTAACCACGTGAGAATGGGGTCAATATTCAAAGAGAAGAACAAAGAACTCAAGATCAGAAGAGAAATATCTAAAAAGGAAGTAAATAAATAGCTTAAAGTGAATGATGAAAAGGCAAAACACAGATTCAGAGGACAAAGATTAGGTAATATAAGGTATTGATCTAACACATTTTAAAGTTCAGGATTTACATGGAAATCTAGAAAACAACTATTCAGAACAGACATGATTCAAGGATTCAGAAGAAAAACAACAGTATATTAACTTGTAATACTGAGTATCTATAAAACAGCTAATATGCAATTATACTCACTTGTAATCACTCAAGCAATAATCATCTTCAAGTTCCACATTATTCCAAATTAAATGCTGTTGACAGATAGGAATGCCTTAGGGAAAGGTTATAAAAAATGGTTAAAAATTCAGTAGAACCCTCAGAAGAATATGATACAAAACTATATCATTAAAAAAAATGAAGGAGATGGAGGAGGAAATTAAGGTGGAGCAGGAAGCAGGGAAAATAAACATACTTCTAAACTGAACATTAAGTGCTTAGCTAAAATTTGTAGAATCATAGATTTTTAAAAGATATGGCTAGGACTTCCAGCCAAGATGGAGGTACAGATAGATATACTTTGCCTCCTTGCACAACCAAAAGAAGGACACTGACAAATTTAAAAACAAAAAATAGCTGAGACTGCCAGAAAATCAAACTGTATGAAAGTCCAACAACCAAGAAATTAAAGAAGAAAAATTCATCCAGACTAGTAGAGGGGACAGAGAGGACTCGCAGCAAGGTGGCAGCTGGAGGAGCAGCTCGGGCAATGCAGTGGCTGGCAGACCAGGCAAGGCAGCTCCTGGTGGAATGGGAAGTCCCATATTTGAATGCAGATAAACTGGGAGGAACACCTAGGGAGCAAGACCACATAACCCAGAGTTCCACTGTGGGGAAATAAGCCTCAAAACCTCTGACTGAAAAAACCTGTGGGGGTTGTGTCAGCAGGAAAAACTCCCAGCCTCGTAGGAGAGTTCATTGAAGAGACCCACCAGGTACTAGAACATACACAAAACCACCAACATGGGAATCTACACCAGAAGGGTCCAATGTGCTTGGGGTTACCAGGGAATGTGATGGAAAGACAGTGGAGAGATGAGTAAGCTGAATTGTTCCCTATCTGACCTCTCCTGTACATACACTGCTACAAAGCAGCAACGTGGATTGCAATGCCCTGGCAAATACTTAGGATTTTACCCCTTACTATGTAACAGGCACAACGAGACAAAAATATATGGCCAGGCTGTTCAAGATGGCGAAGGAGTAGAACGGAGCAGATTCCAGTTCCTTATACGCAAGGGAGAGAAGCCTGTCTGATGGGCAGAGGAGAAGCCAGGGAGCCAGCAGTTGCCCAGCATATATGAAAATAAGGGACCAGAAATCTCAATGGTCATGGAGGAACCAGATGGTAGGGAGACAGCAGCAGCGGTACAGTAGAGTTTCCGGGATGGAGCAAAGAGAGGAACAGCAGGGAATTCGGGGGGTGCACAGTCCGGGGACCAGTGCTCGGCTCGCGGTGCCCCTTGATGAGCTCCCAGCATTCTGGACCAGTTCCCCATGCAACTCCCTATTTTGGATTTGTCTGGAGGTTGGGGCCTGCCAAAACAAAGACAGGAGCTGAAGGGATTTTGGCTGGTGCATGGTTTTGGGGACCAGCGCCAGGCACGCAGTGTAGCTGGGTGATCGCCTGGAGAGCCTGGGCCAACGTTCAGTGCCTGGGCCAGTCCCCCATGCTACTCCCTCCCTAGGATTTTTCAGCCAGGGCCTGCCAGGGGACCCAAACAAAGACAGAAGCAGAAGGGATTTCAGCCGGCGCACAGTTTGGGGGATCAGTGCACACCACGCAGCATGCCTTGACATGTGCCCAGCTTTTCTAGGTCGGTGCCCAGTCCTCAGATCAGTTCCCGGCTTCAGGTTCATCTCCTTCAGACTATTTGGAAGCCCTGGGCCTGCCAAGGGGTCTCTGGGAAAGAGCTGAGATCCTCAACTCCCTCCCTTTCTGGCCAAGCAAGGTTGTGTGCCAGGAGAAATTTGTTTGCTAAAGGGTGCTGAGGACAAAGGGCCCCAACCGAGGACTCTGTGGTCACCAGCCCCAGAAATCTGATAGGCACAGTGTGGGGCTCTGGCTCCAACAGATACAACTGCACGGTCAGCTCCGCACCCAGCCTGGCAGCGAACCCGAGGTTGGGCAGAGGCCCTGGAGATCCCCCACAGAACAGAGGCAGGTCTCTGATTGATCCGGTGGGAACCAGGCAACTTGGCTGGCGCAGGTGCTCCTGTGCCCTGCAACCCCACCCACGGTAGTAACCCCTAAGAAAAGAGCGCTGTGAGGAAGTCCTAGTTCCCCATTGTAGGGAGCTGGGGAGAGGCACCGACGACCTGGCTCCTAAGAGAGGGATGGCAGAAAAATCACAGTAATCGACCCTCAGCCAACTGCAGCCAGGAAAACCGGTTTGGCTAGTTTGAAACCAACAAACGACATTTCTTTTTTGTTTTGTTTTGTTTTTCTTTTCTTCTTTTTCTTTTTATTCTTTTTTTAACTTTTCTTTCCTTTTCCTTTTCTTTTCTTTATCTTTTTGCTTTTTTAAGTAATCTGTTATTTCTTTTAAATTTTATTATCGTTTTATCTTTCAATACTTTTGTCTCTTTTTTAGGATTTTGTTTTATTCCTTCTTCCTTTCTTTCCAAACTTATTGCTCTTTCCTCCATTCCCCTACCTTTTTTTTTCTTCCTTTTATTTCTTTCCTTGTCTTTTCTTTCTTTTACCCACAAGAGACACAAACGACTTGAAAATACAAAAAGACCAGAGCTGGACCCATAGAAGAGGCCTCCCAACAGTAGAGTCAGAGAGACAAATTTCACTTTGCTGTAGGAGAGAAGCCACAAGTTGCTGCATGTTTGAGTAGGTGGAAGCAGAGAACGACAGGATAACCAAAAGAGACTGTACCACTGAAATTCACAGGCATTCCACCACAGAAGTTCATACCATAAACCCAGGGAGTCAAAACAGATCAATCTAAGGAGCTGAGGCTAACAAGAAGAGTCTCACAAACATTGGGAAGACAAAGAAACAATCCCCAAATGAAAGGAAAGGAGGAAGCCTCAGAAAGAATGTTAGATGAAATAGAAGCAAATCAACTATCAGATACTGAATTCAAAGCACTGCTTATTATGAAGTTCAAAGAGCTCACAATGAGCTACCAAAAACTATAGGGGAGCTACAACAATCTCACCACAAACTCTATCAACATGAAAAAGGAAATGGAAACTATCAGCAAGGGCCAAGAGGAAATGAAGAATACAATTTCCGAATTGAAGAACACAGTAGAAAGTATTAAAAATAGAGTTGATGACACAGAAGATTGGATTAGTGAGTTGGAGGACAAAGTAGAAAGCAACTTGCAGAAAGAACAGGAAAGGGAAAAAAGGCTCAGAAAGGATGAAGAGGGATTAAGAGAAATGCAAGACAATATGAAATGTAATAATATCCAAATAACAGAAATACCAGAAGGAGAAGAAGAACAAGGGATAGAAAACGTATTTGAAAGAGTAATAAGAGAAAATTTCCCTTATTTCATGACAGAAAAAGTCACACAAATCCAGGAATCACCGAGAGTCCCCATCAAGAGGAACCCAAGGAGGCCCACTTCAAGACACATCATCATCAAAATGGCAAAATTCCAAGACAAACAGAGAATCCTAAAGGCATCAAGGGAGAAAAAAGAAATAACATACAAGGGAGCCCCAATAAGGTTAACTACTGACTTCTCGATGGAAACACTCCAAGCAAGAAGAGAATGGCAAGAAATATTCCAAGTAATGAGAACCAGAGGCCTACAACCAAGGCTACTTTACCCAGCAAGGCTCTCAATCAAGATAGAAGGCCAAATAAAGAGCTTCCAAGACAAAAGAAGTCTAAAAGAATATGCCTCCACCAAACCAGCCCTACAAGAAATACTAAAAGGACTACTTTAAGGAAAGGAAGGAAAAGAGAGAGGCAGAGAGGAACACAGGTACAAAAATGGCAATGAATAAGTACCTATCAAAAATAATCTGAAATGTAAATGGATTAAATGCTCCAATCAAAAGACACAGAATAGCTGAATGGATAAGAAACAATGACCCACACATATGCTGCCTACAAGAGACCCACCTCAGGACAAAAGACCATCACAGACTAAAAGGGAAAGGCTGGAAACAAATTTTCTAAGCAAATGGACAAGAAAAAAAAGCTGGGGTAGCAATTCTCATGTCAGACAAAACATACTTCAAAAAAAGGGCCATAAAGAGAGACCCAGAAGGTCACTTCATAATACTCAAGGGAAGAATTCACCAAGAAGACATTAACATCGTAAATATATATGCACCCAACATAGGAACATCCAAATATATCAAGAAAATCTTAGAGGACTTCAACAAAGATATTGACAGCAACACAATTATAGTAGGGGATTTTAACACCCCACTATCAAAAATGGACAGATCTTCCAAACAAAATATCAACAAAGATATTGAGGCATTAAACAACACCCTGGATGAAATGGACTTAACTGATACATACAGAGCCCTTCATCCCAAAGAAGCTAAAGACACATTCTTTTCAAATGCACATGGAACATTCTCAAAGATAGACCACATGATAGGACACAAAACGAGCCTCACCAAATTCAAGAATATTGAAATCATACGAAGCATCTTCTCTGACCACAAGGGACTGAAATTGAAAACCAACCCCAAAGGAAAAAACTGAAAACACCCAAAATCATGGAGACTGAATGGTATGCTATTAAACAACGAATGGGTCAAGAATAAAATTAGGGAAGAAATCAAAATGTTCCTGGAAACAAATGAAAATGATCTCACAGCAACCCAAAACTTATGGGACACAGTGAAGGCAGTCCTGAGAGGGAAGTTTATAGCAATACAAGCCTACCTAAAGAAGATAGAAACATTTCAAACAAACAACCTAACCCTATGCCTGCAAGAACTCGAGGAACAACAACAAAGACAGCCCAGAGCAAGCAGAAGGAAGGAAATAACCAAGATTAGAGCAGAATTAAATGACATAAAAACTAAAAGCACAATTTTAAGGATCAATGAATCCAGGAGTTGGTTCTTTGAGAAGATAAACAAAATAGACAAGCCTTTAAGTAGGCTCATCAAGAAAAGAAGAGAGAAGACACAAATAAACACAATCAGAAATGAAAGAGGAGAGATTACAACTGATACCACAGAAATAGAAGAGATTGTAAGAAATTACTATGAAGAACTGTATGCCAAGAAATTTGAAAACCTAGGGGAAATGGACACATTTCTAGAAAAATATAATCTTCC